CACCATGTCAGACCTCACGCCAGGCGCGCCTCAAGATCAACAGGTCGATCAGGCTCCTGCGAGCTAGGGACTTGTGTGCTGGCACCAGCTGAGGGATCCACTCCTACAAATGGAAGGGATACATGTACAGCCACTCCGGCGTCGCTCAGCTTCCGTCTGGCTTGAATCAAACATACAGTGCAATCCGGTCCTGAGCCTTCATGCTGTAGGTGAAGTCCTGTTGACGCAGTTTCGCTGCACTCTACAAACCCCCTTCTCCAAAACATCCTGACAAAGACTGAAGGTCAGGGGTCGTTCAGGACTGAATGCTTGAAGTGTCTCGCACTTGCGCACACCACGGAATGCATGTGGGCGTGCCCCGAGCGGCTCTTTGACGCAAGCCTGCGAACTGTTTGTGTTGGGCTGTTTATACCACATGAGCACTCTACCTCCGGGCAGCTTCAGCTGTAAATGGTTGTGCCCGTTTATATAGTTTCTCTAGTTTCCTTTCTCTTGCAACAGCGTTTGCCCCTAAATGCCCGTTGTGTCACATGGAAGACGATGTCTCAAAGTATCACGGTTGTTTCGACCCGGCAAGCTTCAACAAGTAGTGTAAGTAGTGTCGAAGGCGCTGTCTAGCTCGACCTGCAACGCACCGTCTCAGGTCGATGATTGCTTGCAGCTGCCTTTCACCGTTGGTCAGCAAAGCCAGTGGAGAGATCAAAACAATCAGGGCGGTCGGCTGCATTGCCTCTCAACACGTCTGCCATGGCTGAAGCCTTCCGTTGTCAGAACAGGTTCGACGAGAGCACGACAGGATGGTAGAAACACCCGAGTGGTGAGACTCCCACCAGAAGGGTGGATAACCAGGGGGCATTGTTGCATATATAATATATATGTACATACATACATACATACATACATACATACATACATATGTACGCTGGTATATTCCCCACGTCACGCCGCAGGAAACGTTCTCGCTTCGCGTCTCCCGCTTTGATGCGGTGTATATTTTGCGCTCATGTCCCTTTATTTGCGAGGGATGCCGGGGGCAATGTCCCATAAAGCGCCAGATTCATTGAATCCTAATACATGTTCCATTTTATGACTTCGAAAACCAGGAAGCCTGCCAGTACTTGGTTAGGGTGAGAGCAATTTGGCCGTCCGGCTGAGTCCAGGCGGTATATGGGGGGTAGGGCCGTGCTCTGAATCCCGTACAGTTTCTTCAGCGAAACAGTCGTGGTCTTTGGGAGGTCTTCTATTTGTCGATTCGGAATACCACATCCTGCAAGGCGAGACTGAAATTCCTGGAACCCCGGCGGGCCTTGGAGGCTTCCGCGGGAACACAGTGAAGAGAGAGAGTGAGAGAGAGAGAGAGAGAGTGAAGAGTGAAGAATTCTGATACTGATAAGGGTCTTCATGCGAATGCAATGCAAGTTGCAGTGTTCGTACCTTCCAGGGCAAATCTTACCACAGTACAGCGAGTTGAGTAGACTCGTAGACAGGTTTCGCACAGTGTCGAATGCATTCCACTTGAAAGCCATACTCTGAGCTGTGTCGGCGTAGGCAAAGCAGGTAAGAGGAGCCTGCAGCGAAGACTTTTACAGGAAACAAGCTGCCCTCTGAAACAGCATCTGGCATGCCGTATGACCTGCACCCAATGGAGGCAAACCTAGTTCGGAAGATGGGAGAAGACACGTTGTCTGCGTGTAACACTCGGAGTGCATTCGCCATGGCCAAGAAGCCATGCTGGGCTATGTAACTGTGACGATTCGGTACACATGGCGGCAATACCGGAAATGCAGTAGGTCATCATTCCTGAACGTTAGGGGCTTGCTACTGCAGAGTTGCTGCGAGAGCTTGCTGCACATGCTTGCTTCCATCCCGGCCAGCAGGACTCACCGAGTGGAGGTCGCGATGGCCTGAGACTGCCGAATGCACGTGTGACATTACAAGTCGGCAGTTGCGTGTAGTTGCCGCTCAGGGGGCAGCAGAGCTTCGTTGGCCGAGAGGTGGCCGTGTTCTTGCTCCGCTTCGTCAGCCCGCGAATAATTCCACTACTTGTGGCAGGATAGATGAGCAGCTCGCCGTGCAACTCAACCCTCGCCTGGAGGCTGATCCTCAATCGGTTCCCACACCACTGCTGAGCCACTTGTGCCTTCGTGCTCAGGGCATGACTTCTCGCATGAGAGGCCTTACTGATACTTGAGTTAGGATAAGCTCGGAGGGTTTCTCTTGAGTTGAGCACGCCGAATGAGTTGCTGCCAATTGATGCGCCTGGACAGTATGTTCGTTAGCCATTCTTTTGCAGGGCTCCAGACGTGATCTTCAATACCTGATTATCCCTAGATGTCCTAACGCAAGAACCATGGCGAGTTCTGGTCGTGTTGGCCTCTTTGGGATTCTGGGCTTCTTCGCGGGATTTCCTTCGCAATCGCGCTTTTAGTGAAGTGACATGGAACCACGGAGGGGTCCCAGCACAGCACATCTCCAAGCGACCCCCTGTTTTGACCGGAGCGATTTTTGCGGCCTAGAGCCACCAGGAGCACTCCCGTTCTGTGGGCCTGGAGCTGGAAAACATGCGAAAAACTATGTCGCGCCCTCGAGACAGCGCCACAGTGATGCTGGCAGTGCTGTGCATTGTAGTTGCATGGAACGGCGGCAACTGCAAGAGAAAGTCGGCAATACTCAGCCTGTTGTCGTGCAAATTACGCATCCGGCAAGACGTTGAGCTGTACTGGCTGCAGATTTGGCAGCCACATGCGACCTGCACAATCGTAGAACTCCGACTTCCTTGCGGCTTGAAGCTCTAAACATGATGCGCACTCCATCCAGTGACACTGTTTCCTGCCACTGGTTTTCACTCGCCATGTTGCGGCGCATAGCGCGATCAACACCCGGCGGATGTCTCGGTGCAGCCCGTGGCTTCTCGCGGCGGGAGGCATGCTTCACTGGCATGCGGAACTGACTATTTTGTAACGGAAGACGAATGCTGCAATCAGTAGGTACTCACTCCCGACTAATTTTCACCAACCAATCTTGCACGTTGCAACCATGTCGACAGCTCATGAGTTAGGATTGCAGCGGATTTGACAGTAACAGCTAAGCTTCGTGTCTCCATGGGCTCAGATGTCCTCGCTGCCCCAGGGCATGCCTAGCAAAGGCCCTGAAGAGGCAGGCAGATTGGGTGCGCTGTGTAGTCCTTCAGGTTTGGGATTGTTCAATAGGCATGAAAGCGGCCCTTTTGCGAAGGCACCGAGGGAACTGAACTCCTCGACTTAGGTTCCAGAAAATGCGTGATTGCAACTTGTCAAGACTAGGTCTCTGACATGATACGCCCCCGATGAGAGAGTCAATCCCTGCAGCAAGAGCCTTCGATCTGCATTGCCTGGCACCTGATTCTCATACGCAGGAGGAGGATATCGGCAACTGCCCAATGTTCGCGCCACGTCAAGGCTGGAACGTCCCTAACTGGTGAGTCCTGAAGTTGTATTGAGTTGAGTGCTCTGCACTTAGAGCAGCATCACAAAGTCGTACAATATCGCATGCAAACAAACCCGGCGGTATACACACATGCAGATCATGTCGGCCACCAGGCAAGGCAATGCACGGGTAAAGACATTCCCAGCACGCAGTGCCAGTTCATGGGTGCAGAGGATCCTTGGAACAGAAATGGACTCGTGCATCGGGGTGCTTATGCCTTAAGCATGGCTGGCCTCACCTCAGACCGAAAAAGGGAGACCATAACCGGCCAGAGTTGACCTACAAGTAGGGCAAATTGAACACTTGTACCTTTCCTGCAGCTCCATCGGCCGCGGAAGCGCCTGCTCCAAAGTCTCGGATGCTGCGGCTGTTCAGGCTGGCACCCTGCCTGAGTGACTATCGGTGGTGATCAGAGCCTTTCAGTTTCAGTGCGTGCGAGTCAGCGAAATGAACAGTTGTAGTCTGTAGTTCATCTGTACAAGTTGCAGTTGCCCGGCAGAACTTGTCAGGCTGCGTTTCTGAAATCTCGTTTGTTTGCTGTTCTTGCAACGTGTTCATTGCGGGGGTGTGATGAGACAAATCACGACAGGCGTGTGCAGGTTGTATTTTCCAGGGCTTGTGGATGTGTTTCCTCAAGCCTCCTCCTTCCAGAACATAGACTTTCAGCATTAGCACTCAGATTCCGCCGCTGGGACCACGATGCGTGTTGTGCTGCCAGGATGGTGCCAAAGGATGTTGTCCAGAGCATACACTCCACCTACTGGCTGCTTATCGGAGGCGAGCTCTGATCTTCCTGCTCGCACCCAGGGGTGGCTTGTGTTTGCCCTTGCGCTTCTCCAGGCCCCTTGCCACGGCACTTGGTGGAACAAGGCATGGGCTATGAGTTCAACTTGGTGCCTCGGCTGGCGATTGTTTCCCGCTGCTTTGCAAACCAATGCTAGTCCCTTGCCAAAGTGGTCAGGGAGGAGGCTACTTCAGCGTCAGGCTTGGAATTCAATCCCGAATCCGTCCAGCCCCGTATACATCTTCGGAGGCATTCCTGGAACTTCTCATGGTGTATCAAGTCTAGAACTCCACTTCTTTAGCTTGCGTGCCGCTGTGTGCAACGTTTGTGCTGCTCTTCCGTCTTCCGCAGTCCCAGACTTTCGGTGTGTAGATCTCGCACACGTCCTTTCCCAAACCTCTCGGACGCGAAGCTCAACTCGATCCGAGCAAGTCATCTTCATCCGCTTGGCGTTCCGCATGGTGGTCTTCGGAATTGGAGCCACAATCCTCGCACTGCTGCTTGTCCAGGGTTTGCAGACTTGCATTGTCCAGTCGTTGAGTTGGGAAATTGAGGTATGGCAGCTGCGTATGGAAGTATGTCCTGTTGTCTACGGATTCTGCGCAAGTTCTCAGTAGTGCATATCAATTCAATCACAAAATGAACACGGTGCAGAATTTTTTTCGACGTGCATGGTCCACAGCTGCGTGGATATCGGTCATGATTCTACTTTGCAAAGGACAGAGGACACTCTGCAACAGCACTTGGAAGTCGTTTCCCGAACCCCCAAAGCCCTGACCGCCGAACCCAAGCCAGAAGCAACTAATATGTCAAGATAAGTTTTGCATGAATCCGACGACTGATGCGGACCGTTGCGGGCCCGGGTCAGGGAACAATTCGTGGACGAAGGTTCGGGTTGTTTGTTTTAAGATCAGGGACCCTCTTCAAGTTGAGCAAAAATTGGTTCGCGGCATCGCAACGGTCGCTATCGTTCAACCCAACAGAAGGCCTGACCTCAAGACCTCAGCCCCCAGCTGCATGTCAAAGGACAGGCCGTCGCCTTTGGCATCGCTACCGGGCACCACCGGAAGAGCCTGCCTCCAGCCCGACTGCTTGAAGCAATCGGCGAAGGCCGCTCAAGCTGTACAGAGACCCGTACAAACTTCAACGGGAGGTTCGTAGCCGCTGCAAAGCCTGCGAACTGCAGCTGAGCTACTTGAGTCGGATCGATTCGAGATCGAACTTTTCAAGACGATGCGTGCGTGCTTCCCATGCCCTTGGCCAGACATCGGCAACGAAAAGATGGGCCACATGCAATGATGTGTGCTCAGATGATCGGCAGCACGTGTTGCTGCTGACTGCAATCTTTCAGCCTGGCTCTGTCTTGAACCTTTCCTCAACTGTGCTCAGGCTTGCACTGGCCGCGGCCCCAAACCTGATGGATCGTTCCATACCGGCGGCTCCAGCCTTTCAGCCGCTACGGGGTGAACCTGAGTCCTTAGGTCTGCCGAGGTATCCGGATCTGTGCGCCGTGCGATGCCTTGCGATAGTCTGTGGTTCCGGAGTCTGACTGGTCGAAAGCCGAAGAAGCACTAAGAGAAGGATAGGGCATAGAAGGACAACCCCTGAAGCGGCTCCACTCCAGATGCACGCGTCCGTTTAGGTCCGAACCGAACTGGCGAAGGCCTTCCGAACGGAGGCTGTGCCTGGCACCTAAGACTTTGAAACGAGTATGCCTTCGTTGGAGGGCCGTGGGGCTTGAAGAGTGTTGGGATATGGCTTCCAGCATGTGGCAGTAGAACAGCTAGGATCGGAGCGCTCACGCGATGATCTCGGCATTGCTCTGCACAGACATACCCTTCCGGAGCTCTACTTCGATCCTGCTTCACGAGAGTAAGCGGCTCTCGCTGGTTTTCCACGCCTAGCCTTGTTGAGAGGCGGCCGCGATAAGCTCTATGGATGAGCAGCTGAAGCGCAAGATGCAGGCGCACACTGCAGAATGAGTCTTCTCCAGGCCATGCTTTGTCGTGGCTAGCTCCAGTCTCTGCAAATCAAGAAGTCTTCTTGTGCCAGGCATCAGCAGCTTGTGTCAACCTCAGACTGGCCCTGCGATGCCTTGAGATCGGGCCTGCAAATGGAGTCCGGCAGTGCAATATGCAACCCAGCAGAGCGAGCACTCAAGATTCTCACAAGCGGTGATGGAGAGGTACAGCCCACGTGTAGTCCTCAATTCTGCATCTTTGTTTTGCAACCATTGCAAAATGGAGCTCGGTTGCTTATGGTTCATGGAGACTTGACTTCTGGCCCAATTGCAAGGTCCTGCAAGGTGAAGGTGAAGCGCTTCAGGTACTGGATACACGACCACAGGAACTGAAGCGAACAACAAATCTGAATCTGTGAGCCAGGCATCATTGCACAAAGGACATTGATATCAACGCACCAAGGAGCTCCTGGTGGGTGCCGGCGATGTGATCGCAGAATTGCAGAGGGCTGACTCTCTGCCTTCAGTTTCTGTTGCAAAGTCTGGATGCTGTTGTTCAACCTGTGCTCGGTGCATGCAGCTGCTAATACATTGGCATAGGAAAAATATATTCGATTCGAAGAACTTTTCTGATGGAAATTTCTCCTAGGGTCTTAGACTTATAATATTTATTTGAGCAATCCTTGTATCCCGCCAAATGAATCATTTTTTACGATCCCGGATATAATTATGAAATACGATTACGGGTTGATGCACGATTACGATTTACGATTTCATATACGATCTACAAAATCATGAATGATTCAAATACGATTACATATTCGATTATGCATATGATTTCATATACGAATATACGATCTACGAAGTCGTATACGATTACATTTTCGATTACTCGGAATACTATTTGGGATTATATTTTGTTATCGAATCGTACTTTGGATCTTATTTTATTCCGGGATCGTATTTTGGAATCGTATTTTTATAATCGGAAAATACGATTCTAAATATGATTAGGAGTAAAATACGATTCTTTTTGGCCATATAGAGGGGCGGTATTAGGAGGTTTAAATAGATTAGTCTAGATGGAATTTAAATTAGTTGTTTGGAGATTTCTATTAATCGTAGTTTTGATTTCTATTAGAATTCATATAAGTGACTCATACATTTTGCAATTATAATATGGATACGAATTAGAGATATAATTAAAAATTAGAATTATATTTAATATCATATTTGAGATATTTAAATAAATTCTTTAAAACATATAAGATTTAATCTCATATAAATATTATGATTTTAGGTGATCGTACTCCGTTATTATAATTGTGTGAATTAATTAATATATAAATTTTCTTTTAATATTCAATAAAAATTGCGATTATTTAACTCTTCTATCGTATTTATATTTTCTTTATTTCTTTCTAACTACTATATTTCTATTTCTCTCTTCTATGCTCTTTCCACACTGATTTCTGGTCTTCGACCCACTATCTTCTACTGAAATAAGATTGGTAGTCGTTTTATGTCGAACATAGATTTAATTAATTGCTCATTTTTATGTAGTAATATTCGATTTCTTTCCTTATAAATTAGAAAAGTCAGCAACGCTGGAAATTCACGGTCCTAGGAATCGTATTTGCAAAAAATATTTTTTTCATAATAATTGGGGCAAATAATAGGCAAATATTATATTTATTTATTTTCTAGAAATTTAAGAAGAATCTTTATTTGAAGAAATAAAATCTAGAAATTCATTATATTTATAAGTCGATTAAAAGAAAAAAATCTAATATATCATATTAAAGAATAAATGATATTGAATTTCCATATATTCGTATGATTCAATTTAATTATAATACTAAGAATTGCGATATTAATAATACTGATATATATTTTT